GAAAAGGCATCCTGCCAAACTCAAACAACAACCTCCTAAACGATAAATATCCCCGGCTCAGAAGTCCTTTGGGGATAAAAGAAAACCACCGCGATCAGAAACTGACGTTCAGTCAGCTGAATCCTTCACTAGAGGATAAACAAGAAAAAACCCTTTTAGCAAAGCGTGTGAGAGAGCTCAGAGGGTACCCAGGCTAATCCTGGAACCTTAGCAACAACTTTAAACCCAAACGGTAACGGTGAAAATAACCTTAAACCCGAGTGGTAACGGTAGCAAAACGTGTCCGTGAGCTAGGGAGAATCTCCGGCTAATTTAGGATCTCCTCGACTGTCTGCTTCTCCCCTCTTTTAAGTCCTGGGAGCTGCTTGATGGCTGATGCGGGTCAGCTGCGGTCTGTGCCGGCGTGCCTCTCTCCGAGGTCCTGAAAGGGCACTGGAGAGTGTGAGCAGGCCACTCCTGGCGCTGTCCCTGGTGCTGGATCCTTTGCAGCGGGGACAAGAGGCTCAGGCTGGGATGAGAGGACGGACCGAGGGGACGAGGGTCGTCACACCTGCATAGCTTAGGAAATGGGTCCTTCACATACACAACAGTTAGAAGCTGTTCGGGTCAACCTTTTCCCAGCAAACCTTGCAAAAACAGGAAACATCTGCTTGTGCTCGAGCTTCAGATAACCACTTCTTTACTGGAACTGGCGTAAGACGGTTGACTTCAGATAAACATTCAGATAGCCTTACTGGAAACCATCTCAAAGTTGGCTAAAAAACAAGATGTTGAAACATCACATTCCTCAAACAGTTTCTGGCCACTACACCTCAATTTCTGCTTCTGTGAAATTGCGCTTCCTTGATCTGCAGTCGCCATCGTTAGTGGTGGAGTGCTGCAACGAGCCGGCTTATGTATATGCATGAGATCCACAAGGCACTTTGCTACAAGCTAACGTGGAGGTGTGAGCAAAGCTAACGGAGGTAGCTACCTAGCCACAATCGGAGTTAACTGTGCACAACACCAGAGCTTCTGAGTCAGAGATGCACCGGGCTGACCGCTGGGTAAAACCGGTTGGAACACAGAGGTCTCCCCAGAGCTCCACAAGCCGGCACCCGCGCAGCAGACAGGCGCTGCTGCGATCTGAGATGCACTGAGCTGCCGCTGAGGGGAGGGGACCATACTGATACTCGTAACCCAGCTCCACCAACATGTTATATTTCAACCCATTTTCAAAAATGCAGCGTCATTTTAAATCAGGAGTGGGGAACCCTGGTCCCCGAGGGCCGGTATCCTGCATGTCTTTGCTCTAACACTTCTGATTCAGTGGTTGATTCACCTGTTCAGCAGCTCATCAAGTTCTGCAGAAGCTTGTTAATCACCTGCTGATTGAAATCAGGTGTGATGATGCAGGGTTGAAACTAAAATTTGCTGGACAGCGGCCCTCGATGGACCTGGGTTCCTCACCCCTGTGTTAAATGCACTGGGTTTTACCCTATTACATTTAAATTTCATGGTTAAACAGTACATGTTAAAATCTAAGCTCAGCTCGGCAGTGACCTAAAATACATAAATATAATTTAACTTACCGAAAAAAATGAAGTGGAGACTTCTTGGACGCTCTATTAGTGCAATTAATGCCACAGCAAAAAGAACGCACAAAGGGCACAACGAATGGTCTAAGTTAAGAGACTGAAAATCCTGGAGCAGTTTCCAGGCCAGACCGAGGCTCTACTGAGGCCTTTCCACGGAGCTAGCTCTGTGGTCACGTGGGTCTGATGCTCATTAATTATTCAGAATTTTAGGCTTTTAATACACTTAAACAGAAGAGTGATAACAAATCCACCCCCCTCAGAGTTGTCATGAGTGTAAACTAGATCATTTAAACCAAAAACATGTTCTGGTACCAGGCTGTAAACATGTTTATTTCTGCTGTGAAATTGGTATTTTTAACATGGGAGTCAATGAGGATTTGCTCGCTTCTGACACCAGCCCCTAGTGGATGAGGGTGGAACTGCAATTTATTTCACTTCCGTGTTGGCTTCATTTTCATACCAGTATTATGGGGGTTTGATGGGAAGCATTTGAGCAGCTTGACCATGCTGTTGGCTCAGTGTGTCGGGGAGGAAACTGCAGCAGCCACAGAGTCATACTGACTGGAGCATGTCGCTAAACTGGATTATTTATATATAAATATTTGATTTTGTGGGCCAAATGAAAATAAACCATCGGCCAAATTTGGCCTGAGGGCCTGAGTTTGACACCTGTGGCCTATTATATACTTTTTAAATGTTGCATCTGGCATGGAATTATTAATACTTTAGCTTTAAATATAAATAAAATCGTTATCAATTTAGATTAATTTGTAACATTTTTGAAAAAGCACCCTCGCGTCATGCTGGGTACTCCCAGCCACCACTGCAACCAGTTGTCAGCAAGTATGACAAACAGGAGAAAACATCGCCCACACTGCTCATGAATACCTCGTTGTTCTGTAGCGCCAAGAGGTAAACAATGTTATATTTTATTAAATACCAAAGAAGGTTATGTTTTAATGTGATGAATGCGGGGGTCCTTCAGGCGTGCTAATGGCCACCCCCGCAGTTAGCATGTAAACTGGTGGAGGTGAACACAGACCTCCTATTGGCTGCTCGGGTGCAGGAAATGAGGTCGCCATCTTAGATCGGTCGAGCTTCCGGCGGACACGAACCATAACAGCAGCTGTTAACAGGATGCCTGAGTTCTGTGTGGATTATTCCTGCTCTAATCGGCCATAGTGACCCGATTGATCATGCACCCTGGCTACCTGGCCGAGGGGACGTCCTTTGGCTGACTGGTTAGCGTACGTGAGTCTGGGGATCGAATCCTGCCTGGGCCCTTGCTTCTCCACCTTGCCACACTTTCAACAAGTAAGTTTGAGCATTTTTGTTGTTTGTATTTATTAATATAAACTTGCTGTACTATATTTGTGTCCACCAGCAGCCCATCCTAGACAGCTAACATTAGCTACATGTTTACTGCTGCTGTCTCCTAGCCTGGCAAGCCAGACCAAATAAATGTATTATTTAGTCTGGCCACGCTCCATTGACGGCTCTCGGTTGTGGGGCGGGTTCTACCGTTGTCTTTCAAATGATCTCCGCATTCCACTGGACAATGAATGTGACATCCTCTTGTTTCACTCTGTTGCATCATCCCACCCACCAGGCATATAGAGTGCCCTGATTGGCCCACAAAGCAGATAAAGCTCTGTGACTTGTTCACTAAGCAGATAGAGCACTATGATTGGCCCACCATTATAGACCAATCACAGCTCTTTATGTGTTTGAAACCCCTCTAGAGAGCTGTGATTGGCTAGCCAGAGTCCTGGTAGGAGCTGCTGAGGTTCCAATGGAGCATGCCTAGACCAAACTTTGCAAAGCAAGAATTTGGTCTAGTTCACTAGGCTAGGTGTCTCCCTGACAGTGAAGCTAAATGAGACTTTGGGTGTGTCCGAATCCAGAGGCAGGATGCTTGTAAGGCTGCATTTTGAGGTCGATGATGTCACAGCGCAGCAACGAGTATTGTCCGAAATCCAGGAATACTCACTCTTGCATCCTCAAAAGCGTCCTCGCTCCGCCCACATTTCGAGGATGGGTCTGTTGTATCCTCACAGAACAAGGCTATCCCAGCATGCTTTGCACGTCAGCTGTGGATTTTCAACAGGAAAAGAAAACGGGGAGAGCTACGAAGTTTTAAACCTAAGTTTATTAAAAACTAGCCGTGGAAAACTAAAAAGCTGAAAGCGCTTTTGTTTATAGACATTTTTAGTTTGTATTTTTGTTTTTTAAATTACATTTTAGGCAGAAATCAGCCAGAACATGCTTGTCTCACGGGTCCTGTAGTTATCCCTGTGTGTGTGTGTGTGTGTGTGTGTGTGTATGTGTCGAATTAAACTTGTCATTTGTTTTAAGGACAACAGAGCAAAGAAGCGTTTTTATTAAGCTTAGATGTGAAGAGTGAAGTTGTTTACACACAACCACAGAAGATCTTCTGTGAAAAGTAGTTTTTACACGTCCACTGACGACATTCCACACAAACACACACTTAGGGCCTTGGGAGTGAGCACATTCAACGGAGCTTGGCAGGGGGATTTCTCGGCCTCCTCACGGGTGCCGGTGCCCACTTTCAATTTTAAACCGCACTTAGACACTGATGGCTGAGGGTGCAAGTGGGGTGGTGCGGTGGCATCAGCTTGCGTAGGCCGGTTGATGCCCGCACTGCCCGCTCACCACAGCCATGGAATACACCTCATGATCACACAACACTATATTGGAGCAGGCGGAGGGAGACTAGGGGTCTTAGCCACCTCTGTTGTTGCTTGGCTTCCTGGGGCTGGAGGCTAGGAGGGAGATCTGGCCGTCTGGTTGGGGTCTGGGGTGGTGGGTTGCTGTGCTCAGCGTTGGGCGGGGGAGCCTGCTCATCAGCACCCCAGCAGAAAGGGTCAAACTCTGGTTACCGGTGATGTTGTACCCAATGTGCAGCAGTACCGGGACCCCCCCGGGCTCGGCCGGCTAGGGGGTGGGAAGCTGCGGGCTTGCCACTGAGATCTCCAGGGGCTCTGCCGGCTGCTGGTTGTGGCCCCCCGGGGCGATCCTCTGTGCCTCTCGAGGGGGGCGGGGGCCTTTCTGGTTGCAGTCCCCTTGGGGTTCCTGTGTTCTGGGACAGCGCCTGGATCTCTGGGACTTGGAGCTCCCCCCGTCTCCTGCGCATCTTTGGGGGGCGGATCTGTGGTCCCTCACACTCTCTATTGGACGCTCCTATAGAGAAACCTTACATAAACAAGCGTGTGTACACACACAGGTGCTCACATGGTGCTCTCATAAGTATGGGCTTGGGCACGTTCAACACATGTCTTAAGGCTGTGGTGGGCACTAAATGCACTGTGATTTATTATCATGTGACTGTTCAGTTAAACAATGTTGATTATATATAGATACCCAACTGCCAAGTGGGGCATGGCCGAGACCGTGACGCTGAATTTTTAGTTTTTAAAGAAAACAAAAATAATGACTACACGTGTCTACAACAGTATTAGTCTCTCATTTACACAGGTTATTAGCAACAAAAAAAAGTAGAGTTTGGTGTGACTTGTTCTATGCTTCGCCTATTTAATGATTGTCCCTGTAGCAATCTTTAAGCCCCACTCAAGTGTAAGGTTATTGTCCCCAGCAAGTCTAAAAACAACTGACACCTTTGATGAGGTGGAGGCCAACCCTTCCCCAAACATGAACTCATTAGTAGCAGGTCAGGGGTCAACCGGCAGACCAACTCAGTCCATCTGTAGGGACTCCAGGGCAGCCCGATGCCAGCTGGCACAATATCTCTAGCTCATCTCCGCTCTATAAGGTCTCCACAGGGTGATGTCCAGAATGTTCATAGCAGATTACCAAAACCCATGTCTGGTAAAGATGCTGCTCCAGGCCACCAGCCTGCTGCCCCTGATCCTGAGGTAGCTCAGCTCTGCAGCAGCTCACTGCTCATGCGACATTTTATTACTAGGAGCTGTTTGATGTTGTGTTGAACCTGACTGTATAGTGGTTGCATTGAATTGATAAAATAAAACAACAGAATTCAAATAATTATTTCCTTTATGCATCCTTTTATTTTATTTTGACCTGGATTCCCAGTAAGAAAAGATATTCACCTCAATGGGACCTCCCTGGTGTAATAAACATATAATGAGTAAATAACTCGGGTCTAAATAAGATTAACATCAATCTTTCCAGGAGAACCGACCACGAAGACAGTAAAACATACAAACTTATGTATTACATAGCAATAGAAATACATGTGATACATTCAGCATAAAGCAGGTGAACAGCAGGAAAAGGAGGACCGGCTGAAACGTCTCCAGTTTCAGCTCTGACCTTTCAGGTTGAAGTTTGTAGAGCATTAGAAATAAAACAAGGTGCCCACAAGGAAAGGGTTCCAGCAAGCAGAAGCAGCTAATTCATCTCAACCTTAACAAGACAGTCGACATTTTCTAAGGAACTGAAACAAAATGAATTCAGGACAAAGACCATATAAATGATCTGTAACACATCAATGTGTTTTTCATTTAAAATGACTACATAATTATAACTAATAACTAGCTTAGAGCTAATCAATACATACCTGATTAGAAAATATCAGCTCCCTCTTCTCAGCCTGCTTGGTTTGAATAGAAGGAGCTGACAGGATCCTCTCCAACCATCAGCTAATCCAGATGGGTCACACGCCTTTAGCTCTAGGTCGAGATTCTGAAAACAGTGATTATTTTAAAGACCACATCCTAAATGTTTTTGCTGATTATAAATGGACACATGCTAAGGTCACAACCATGATGGATCATCAGTTAGCATGTTGAAAGGATGGTGTAGCTCCTTTAGGCGGGGTTCTGCCAAAGCCAACATGCGTTTGTGGGTCTCTCAGAAGCACACAGGAATAATCCGGGCCAGCAAGGTTCAGTTCTAGTTCAAAATCCCAGACTAATCACATCAGGACCAGATTATTTCTACCTTTTGTTCCATTTGAATGTGAGCACACAAAGAAGCACTTTGAAACAACGCAGGCTGTTGGACCTGGACAGGATTCTTCTACCACCAGCACACATTCATCAGAGTAGAGACAGCCTTTAGTTAAACCTTCATTTCAGATTGAGATATGTTTGTGAGTCTTAACCCTAACCCAGGTCATCAAAAGCACACAATGCTCTTTGTTTTCTGCAACTGCAATAAAGCGTTGTTAATAGGAAGCTTGTTGGTAATTTATCACAACATTAAACACATATTTAATCAATTAACCAGAGTTTAAATGTTGACGTAAAACCGGTAATGTGTGTGTGAGCGTGTTCCTGCCTTTTGCTGCACACACCCAGAACAGCCTGATCAATCATCTGGGAGGAACTCAAGTCCATCAAAGTCTCAGCAGGTTGTTGGTGGATCACACATCCCTTTGTTGAACATTAGGTGATGGTTTCTCACAAAAACATAAATCCAAGCAGTCTAGACACTTTATAGAATAGATCCACATCATATGTTTGTTCATTTGTGTTCATGCCGTGGTTTTCAGATGAAAGATGGTGGATACTGAAGCTCGTCGGTGCTGTAGCCAACGGTGCTCTGTTGTTTGGGAGAGGTTCAGCTGCCTTCTCGTTATCCTGAATCCTCATTTGGCTTCATTCAGGCCACATCTTGTAATGTTCAGATATGTTATTACAGTGTTTGGCCACTAGAGGTCCCTGTCGTTATATATGATGTTAGATATGGTAGAGGAAGTGAATGTGTGTTAGCACATGTGGCATGGTGCCACCAGTCTATTCTGAGCATGTTAATAAAGGAGCTCATATGATTCCAGAACCGCTGCTGTTATTTATAACCACCAGAACACAACACGTCGTAAGAGGATCCCAAGTAAAAACACTCACTAATGCTGGAGAAAGAACAAACAGCACTCAAAGAAAGGAGTTTCTGTGTCCATAGGGTGAAGAAGAAGAGGACGAGGAAGAATACGAAGGCTGAAACTATGTAGCGTTGGTCTTTCCTTGAGTCTTACAGTAGCTGTGTTTTCCACGATGTTCCATCATCCCATCTACTGACGACTGTCGAGCGAAAAGAACTCCTGAAGAGCAAACAAACAAGACTCCAAATTATTCAAGTACCTTCAAAACAGCAGTTCCTTGAACAACTTCAGTTTGAAGAAGCTGTTCTGATTCCATTACGGCTCTGACAACTCATGAGATGACTGCCATCACAAATGTGAGGTGCTGGTTCATGTAACATGACCCCTTCATCCCTCAGAGAATTTAAGTGTGCTTTGAAGAACATCTGCTACAGTAAACTGGGAGCTTTTATCCTAGTTTATATGTACGCTAAAAAGACAGAACTCTCGAATGAAGTCGATTCCACTCCAATGTAGGAAGTGGCGACATATGCCCTTTCATGTTGGTGTTCTTCCAGTTAGGCGGGGATTCCCTAAGTGTGGTGCGCACAAGCTGCCACTAGGGGGTGCGCAAGGTGAATAGTATAATGGCTGCGGGAGCTCGGAGTGAGTCTAAGAGCCTAAGATAATATTCTCATGGTGTGCTGGGAGAGAGCGCTGTCTGTTTCAGATCTAACTCGAACATTTAATTGAACCCAAAAGGGTTTTAGACAGGAAATGTTTTTCATATCAAACAAATATCAGCCTGCCTGTCGGCTAACCCCGCTGGAACGAGCCGGTGTTCTGTCAGAACTGCTCCGACAGGTGCGCCTCTGACCGTTATGTGCAGTTTGTTGGTTCACAGATGCGCAGTCAGGCATGACACAGTTCATACACCAATACGTAATTTAAAACACATGAAAGTAAGCCAGTCACTCACTACAAACAACAAAAGGGAGGACACACACTTCATTTACAATAGTCTTTGATGCTGAAAGAAAAAGAAGCATCGCCTGCGATATTGGATGATGTGATTAATTAAATTAAACAACTGATTATTATTCTTTAAAATAAAATCAGTGGCCTCATGATAAAACCTAATATTAGCTAAAAGTTAGCGATTTGGGGGCTTTTAATAGAAGATCCTTTCAGGAAAGTCGATATCAGGAACACACCCCTCACGTATTTATGTCGTGGCCACGCATTCAGTATCTCATGGGAACGCCTTAAATCAGTGGTTCCCAAACTTATTTAGCCGCGCACCCCCTTCTATGTCCCGACCATGTCGACGCACCCCCCCCCCCCCCCCCGCCCCCACATCAGGGCATGGCTCTATATATATGTCCATCCGATGTCAAGCTAAACAGTCAGGGTTAAAAAAAATATGATCGACCTTTTTCCCCATCACTTTCATTTTTTTAAATAGTAATTAATAAACATTCAATACCATTACAATTTCCTTTGATTTAACATTAAATAAATATTTAGAGTGCCCAGGTAGCACATAAACAATGCAATTTAACGGTTTTCTTAAAGCAGGAACGTTTAACCAGAGCGCTCTCCTTCCTTCTGCTCTGCATAAACCTGAGCTGATCACCTACTTGTGCGTAATCAAATGTCTATAGGGGACAAGATATAGCCATGATGTTCACTTTTGCCTCAGACCGACTTATTGCTGTTTTATGGTGTGTCTGAATCTGCGATCCGCTGCCTGGAACAACAAATGCTGCAGTAACAGGGGTTGTAGTCAGGTTCATGAGGAGTCACTGGCTGGAGCGGACCCGACTTTAATACGTCATCCCAAAATAGAAGCTAATGTCTTACTTTGACCTGGAAAGAAAAATGTTATAAAACCTCTTAAAAGTTTTTATCACAGAGGAGGCAGCGCTCATTTCTGCCTTCAGTCTGACGGCGCGCCGGAGTCTGTGCAGCGTGCGCGCTTATTGAATCTATGTGTGTGTGTGTGTGTGTGTGTGCGCGCGCGCTGCACAGCTCCATGAGCCGCTCCAGTCACCGCGTCTCGTTATCGGCGCTATTTAAACCAATGTTGTAAAACTACTTCTGCCCAGCCCAGATGTGCTCACTTGTGCACCCGTGAGCCGTGGTTCCGCTGGAACACGTCTGACCTCTGACAGACGCACTCTGAACTTCAGATCTTCAGCGCGCTGTTAATAGCCTGAATGGGAATCATTTCTTGATTTATTTAGTTACATCCACAATGTTCTGTGTGTGAGGTTTACAACGTCAGAACACCTGCATGAGACAGGTGTTAATTACAATCTGCCAGAATGACTCACCACCTTCAGATTCCTCCAACACCGTTAAAAATGATCAAATACAGAACATATCGGCGTGCGCAGGCCAGAGTGCTGAAGCTCGGCGCATTGTTATTATGACGTTAGGGCACATGTGGAGGACACGCGCGCAAAAATATACTTGTTTTCAATTACATTTATTGTGCCCACTTACTTTTTCTTTGGCCCACCCACAAATGAGTTTCTGGCTAGGCTAATGGTGACATATGACAGACTTCCCTGAGCTCCGCAGCCATTACACTTTCCACCTCGCGCACCCCCTAGCGGCAGCTCGCACACCACTTTGGGAATCCCTGCCTTAAATAACTCATACTATATATATATATATATATATATATATATATATATATATATATATATATATATATATTAGGGCTGGGACTTGATTAAAATTTTTAATCTAATTAATTACAGGCTTTGTAATTAATTAATCTCAATTAATCACATTTTAATCGTTCAGGAAAATGTGCTCTAAAAGTAAAACTTTTAATTAAAATTATGAGACAGAGAATCAAACATTAGACATGGTTATTACTGTAAACTAAAGCTTTTAATAAATAAATGCATTTTAATTATTCAAATGTCACTGTGTGATATGAAACAAGACCCAAATCAACAAAAATGTATAATTACAAATAGAAAACACCTGCAAAGGGTTCCTGGGCCTTTAAATAGTCTCTCTGTCTAGTTGAATGACTGAAATAAATTTGACTTTGCACCAGATTCTAATTTTTCCAGTTTCACTTGTTTGTATAATTGGGAGTTTTTATTAGCATTTCTACTCATAATGTAGTAAAACATATAAATAATAATCCTTCAAAATGACAGTAGAACAGGCACAAATATGATCTAGGACTTAAATGTACTAACTTTTAACACCAGAGCAGGCGTGGCATATTCTGAGAATGATCAGGAACACTAACTGGTTCCAGTTGGATGACTGGAGGATGATGGGAAGATAAAAGATCATGGCGAGGAAATAATGATCTGACGAACAGGTGAGCGGACCTTCCTTACATGGGAAGTCCTGCTGTCACGTTAAGAAGGGGATGCTGCAGACCCGCAGATTCACACCTGCAGCAGCAAATCTGGTGTGATCTCCAGCCTGATCACAACTTTCTTGCTGCCCCTGATGCACTTAAGCATCCGCCCCTTAGCTGATGACAGCTTCAACACACCTCGCTGCTTAATGATAGTAATGCATGTGATGTTTAGACAGAGACTCGTCTCAGAAACGTATAACTCCCCGACAGAATTGTGTAGAAAATCATCAGAAAAGTTTCAGAGTGTTTCTGTTTTAACTTAAACTTCTGTTTTCAACTTTAAGACACGTTGTTTGTGATTGTTTACAGAGTAGTGAGAACACGGAGCGTTCTCCCAGCGGCAGCCAGGTGCCTCTCGTTTGTTTAACTACTTTCATAAACTACTGTTAGGGCACAGAATTATTCTGTCTGGTGCTTTCAGCGCTGCACAGATGTTACGTAAATGTTAAAAATATAGCTTACCGCAACTTTTGTAAAGTTTACGGTGCCACCGGGCAGCCGCAGCAGAGACGATCTCTGAAAAATGTCCGCGACACGGACTCCGTTGTTGTCTGGAAGTTGTTCTTGCAAGTTAAGAAAAGAGGTGGACATGTTTCCTAAATCCTGCATCAGTCCAAGCAAGACTTCTTTCTGTTTTTATTCCGTTAGTAGCCATTAGCACTGTGCATTGTTGTGTGCGTCAGTGATATTCTGTCTACAGGAAAGTCGTGCAATGACAAAGGTTCCGCCGTGCTTGAAATGCAAGCTGCGATTAAATGCGTAAATTTTTTTAACGTGTTATTTTTTCCTAATTAATTAATTGTAATTAACGCGTTAAAGTCCCGGCCCTAAGATATATATATATATATATATATATATATATATATATATATATATATAGAGAGAGAGAGAGAGAGAGAGAGAGAGAGAGAGAGAGAGAGAGAGAGAGTGACCATATGTCCTCTTTTCCCTGGACATGTCCACTTTTCACTCTCTGTCCGGGGTGTCTGGGGGGGTTCTTGTATCGATGAAATTGTCCGGTTTTCATCCAGGAGCAGGGATCGAATAATGGGGGGGCTGGATATCCTACACATCCAGGGAGAGCTGGAAAAAACATTTCTACCTATAGTATATCATTTATGGACTCAGTGCACCGGGGGTTCTTTTGAGCGTTGAGCACAGAGAGCGGCAGAGCGCTGATCATTGGTGCGCTCCAGGCTGCTGCGTCCAGCGCACGGTCCATTCTCAAAGTGGCTCAATGAAAAAAACTATAATTAACCCACGATCGTTCATGTCCGCACATGTTCTCTACTTTCTGTCTTATTTGTGCCTGAAGCGCTCTGCTACTGCGGAGCTCATCACCTGTGCTGCGGTGATTTCACCTCACTGACGCAGCATCGAAACGCGCTCTCCGCTTTGCGGTCAGGAGATCCCTTTGATCTGCTCAGAAGTAACTGATGAGGTGAAAAAGTAAGAACCCAGGCAGCAGATTTTCTGGAGAGTTTAGAGGAGATGCAGGAAGATGAGAGACAGACAGGACAGGAAAATAGTTCAACAAAAACAAGAAAACTAAATGCAGTTAGATTAATTTCCACTACACGTTTTATAAAACAATAAGTTAAACACATGTAATATTTATACATCTGATACAATTCAGATCACCTTCAAAACTCAGTCACACACCCAGGCATTTTGGGGGCCAAGGCAAAACAGATCACCCCCACCCCGATAACTGGGCTCCCCAGAAGCCTCTGTGTAATTCATACCCTCTCCAGGAGTATTAGCTATACAGTGTTTATAAAAGCCCCTCAGACATTACTGACATGTTCTAATATTATCAGATGAAAAACTAAATGTTCATACA